TGGCGGGCATGATTGACTAATCTGAAGCTGTAGGTATAGTTTGCTGTGATTAGGCTGTCAAGCGATATGAGTAAGTTGATTACGGAGCTGTAGAATAGCGATGTTGGGAGTTAGAGTGAGCGCAATGAGAGAGAAATCCGAAACGAACTTGAACATGAGACGCATTGCCTAATCGGGCAGCGCAGACTCGGTCCCAGCGCCCGTTCAGCGCCCGGAATCTTAGTCAGCACCACGTTTGCCGACCAAAAGAGGGACGCCGCCACTGGCCCTCGCGAGCTCGTCCTCTCCGTCGCCGAACACGACATCCTTGTCCTCGGCGTCGTCGTCGCGCACGACGAGCAGGGCAGCCCAGACGTCCTACTCGCACCATAGTCTGTCGTGTATATGTGAGTCCCGCGCTGTTCGCCAATTCCAGCGCAACTTCCATCAAACCGGCTCACGGGTCGCGTCTGACTTCCGTTTCCAACCCTTCTGCCAGAGCACTTCAACAAATCTTTCAAACTTCCACTTCTCACACCGCGCTGGCCGTCGTCCTCGACGTCTACAGTCTCTAGCGCGCCCGCCATGGACCCATTTGCAAACAACCTGCAGGTGCCAGAGTTGCCTTCCCCAGGACCCTCGCGGCCGCAGGGATATAATCGTCCTGTATCCGTACAGCCTACGAGTACCACGTCCCCCTCTGCATCGAGTCGCAGTCGAGTACGTGCTTCTCACTCGGTCGTCACTGGACAACAGCAGCAAGAGGACACTCGTCCGCCCTTCAGAGATGTCTACTCACACCCCGCCGCGGTCGAGTACGCGGCTGCACATCCGAGGAGACAAATACCCAAATTCGGGCCGTATATCCTCCTACAGACGCTTGGAGAGGGCGAGTTTGGTAAAGTAAAGCTTGGATTGCATATGGAGTGGTGTGAAGAGGTCGCAGTCAAGCTCATTCGACGAGGTAATCTTGACTCGTCAGTGCGCATGTCCAAAGTTGAGCGCGAAATTGAAGTCCTCAGGGTGCGCTGCCATCCGCCGCCTTTCGCTTGCTTACGTCGACTAACGTAATTTGCCATCTCAGACGTTGAAGCACCCCAATATTGTTCGATTATACGATGTCATTGAGACAGACAAGTATATAGGCATCATCCTCGAGTATGCCTCTGGCGGAGAACTCTTCGACCACATTCTTGCACATCGGTACCTCCGAGAAAAGGACGCTTGCAAGCTCTTCTCGCAGCTGCTCTCCGGCGTATGGTATATCCACCAAAAGAAGATTGTTCACCGTGACCTGAAGCTCGAGAATCTTCTGCTCGATCGCAACCGCAATGTGATCATAACCGACTTCGGTTTTGCCAATCGCTTTGAGCACAAGGCAGATGACCTGATGCAGACGTCGTGCGGCTCTCCCTGTTACGCCGCACCAGAGTTGGTCATCTCTGATGGTCTTTACGTCGGTTCTGCTGTCGATATCTGGTCTTGCGGTGTGATCTTGTACGCTATGCTCGCCGGCTACCTTCCCTTTGACGACGACCCTGCAAACCCCGATGGAGATAACATAAATCTCCTCTACAAATACATTGTCAACACTCCTCTATCGTTTCCGGAGTACATCTCGGCTGACGCTCGAGACCTCCTTTCCATAATGCTTGTCCCCGACCCTTCGCGTCGAGCGGATCTCGAAACAATCATGAAGCACCGCTGGCTAGCTCCTTACGCTTCACTCTTCTCAAAGAGCGTCGACGAACTCGAACAGGCCGCGATTGAACAGCACAACCTCAAACGTGCTGCTTACCAAAAACAAATGCGCCAGATGGTCGAACAGCAGAATGCCGCCAAGGTTCACAAGAGCCACAGCACGCGAACCGATACCTATTCCGGCCCCACTCGCAGCCACCGTCACCAACAGCCGGAGTATCTGTACGAGACCTCAGGCGACCATTCTGCTTACGCCGCTGCACAGTCTTCTCGACGCGGTGTCAACTCAGCGATTGTCGTGTCGTCCCCGCTCGTGCAGTTGGATGACGATCCGTTCGCCCCTCCACCGTCCGCGGCGAAATCGACAAACGCGCCAATATCAATGGTCACCTCGCCCGTCGGCGACGTCACGGAAGAACGCCGCGAAGGTGTCAATGGCGGAAGCGCGGCCGAGGTTGCTGGCACTTCTTCTGCCAAACCTACCATTGAACCCGTCAAGACTTCGCCAGACGCCAAGCGGCCGAAGGGTCCGTTCAGACATACCATTCAGGTCGAGGTACCCGAATCAGAAGCTGCTTCGTCGTCACAGCAACACCGCCAGAACCATGCCCAACAACAAGAGCAAACTTCACCGAAGAGATCACCTTCGACTCGTACGGTGGAGCAGCGGAATGGTGTCTCCCAATCCCCCGTGCCTGCTTCTGCGAGCATTAGCAGGAAGCCATTGCCTACAACGCCTGCTTCTGCTTCTAAGGAGCGGGCCCACGATGAGCCTTCGCAACAAAAGATTGTTCAGGCATCCTCACCCCCTCCCGAACCTTCGCCTCCCGTGGTCTCCATTGAAGTGACCAGTCCTCCTGTCACGCCCTCCGTGGCTGCTTCTGCCGCGGCACTAGAAGACAAGGTGTCCGTGCACGAGCAATCATCTTCCACCGGTTCTGGTTCGTCGAAGAAGAGCGGCAGCCACAAGAGGGGCATTTCGATTGACAAGATTAATATCACTAAGATCTTTGGCTCTTCGAATGGGGCGACCGATGCCTCCCAGACTAATGGCAAGATTTCGAGGGCCCCGTCACAGAAGTCGACTGATACAGTCACTGCTGTCAATGGTAAAGACTCCACGAGGCGACCCTCCACCTTCCAGCTTCCTCCTTCATCCGCCGGAGCCGCAATCGCCGCCGAGGAGAAGAACCAATTTATGCTTAGTCCTCCAGACAGCACTATTGCTTCACGCAAGCAGAGCAGGAGGAATACGCTTACTGTCATGGTCGAGCCGTTCAAGAAACAACTCACCAGAGGCAGCAAGACGGCTGAGACCCCTGTCAAGGAGAAACCTACCCCGGTCGAGAAGCACGCCGCAGATGTGTCTGTGTTGTCAGAGAAGCAACCGCAACCTCCTGCGAAGGATATGATGCCACCCGAAACGCCGACGTTCTCCAAGAGCGGCAGGCCCGACTTTGCTCGGTTGGCGATCCCAGGTTCGACCGTCAAGGCTAACACGGTTATGAATTGGTTCCGCTCGAAGAGCAAAGGCAAGCCTGTCGTGGACGAATCCTCGGGCAACGACAAGCCTCTGCCCGAGCCTGAGGCCGATTCGAGCCAGACAAGACTCACTGCTCACCTAGCCGCGGGTTCTTCATCTAGCAGTGTCAATCAACCCACCATCCTGTCGCCTACCTCCGAGAAGACTCGTCCATCCATCGCCGCGCCGTCAGGTCACCCTCAACGCTCGCCTTCTACTCATACCAATGCCTCGATCACTCTCGCTGATCGTGTGCTGGGTAGGCACCCTGCACCAAAGGGTGTTATCCGCGTCCATCATGGTCCTGTGGATCCTGTTACGATCACGACTGTTGCTCCTCCCGAGGTGATGAAGCATGTTCTTGCGATCCTCGATCAGTTGGGTATGGAAGTTCAGGCGGAGAATGATTTCAAGTATAGATGTGTTCGGCCCAAGAGGAAGAGAACCAATACGGGTGTCAGGGAAGGCGGATTGGCCGCATTCAGCATGATGGGATCTGCAGGATCGAATGGGGTAGGTCTCCCTCCGAGGATGCTTTGTTGTGATACTGAACCTCTTCACTTTGCGTATTTTAGGTCGACAAACGTGGGCTTCCCGTACCATCTCAACAGTCCTTTGGTGGTGGAGGAATGCTCCGAGGGCTTCTCATGCGTCGTCAATCCTCTCAAGTCGCCGCCAATCCCTCTGCGTCTACACCGACGCTCGATGGTGATGCTGAAGCTGTCCTCGCCGCCGCCGTTAGCGATACGTCATACAACGGCAAGGAGACCATCTATGGCGATGCTCAAAATGACCATGGAGACGAAGTTAGGTTCTCCGTAGAGCTGACGAGGTTGGACCGTTTGGATGGGACGTATTCACTCGACATTCGAAGGCTGAAAGGTAACTTGAGGAGTTACAAATTCTTGTATGATACCGTTAGAGCGTGCGTATCTCTTGCTATTTTGGATCTCCTGTGGGCGTAAATACTGACGGTCCCATTAACAGTCGCGCAAATCTCAAAGAACTTAAAGGGTGAACCATTGCGGTTTTTACCTGCTAAACCCTCCAATTCGTCGTGGTATATAGTGTTTCTATATACCTTCAGCATCCGCTTCTTTCATCGCCCTTTTCACATCCGACTTCGTTCTTTATTATATCCATTTGCACTTGGAGGAGAAATGTTTCAACCGTAATGTTTCTGATTTCGTTTCTCCTCTTCATCTCTTCATGTTCCTGTCTGTCTTTGTGGTACGGTCTTCCTGGTATATCCCAATAACGTTTTATTTGTTTGTGGACTTTCGCCCCGGCATTTCACAGTTGTTTCCTGGCTTTCATACAGTTTCAAGATTGGTCTGGATCTTCTCGTTCTCGGGCTTTTAGTCTCTATGTCTCATTGTCCTTTTCATCCCGCTTTCTGTTTCCTATGTTTTATAGTCGTTCACTTTGTCTCAGCTGCATATGCAGGTCGTTTAGCGATCTGTATATGCTATCGTCATTCAATATCTCAACACCCACGCGCCCTTGTCACTTATACGTCTTCTCAATATATCCCGTTCTGCGTCGATTTCTTGTGCGGCCTGTGCGAGACTCATTCAAGTTGAAGTGCGGGGTACTAGGTAGGAAGCGCCAGGATACATCGTGCAGTTGCTTTCCTACGGATGTCAATGTCATGTAATGGTCGAAACCGATTTGGGGCTATCTTACCTCCGTACTCTGCTTAGCTGGTGGTGCACAGGATGAACGATGGCCATATGGGCTGTGGTGTAGACTGCAACAAGCACGAAGACAGCAAAATTAGCGTTACGGCCAGAAAAAATGACCACCGCAGGACTCGAACCTGCAGCCTTTTGGTATTACGTAAGCGATCGAAGCCAAACGCGCTACCATTGCGCCAGGTAGCCTTATCAGGAAGGTCTACATGACAGGATCTACCCTTAAACTTCAGTCTTTCACCTGGCCAATTCTCCGACGTGAGATTACGGCTCCAGAGTCCCTACTGTACGACTCTGTCGGCCCAATCTGCATAGGACCATAACGTTGAAATCTCCCATTTCTTATGCAAGGTCGTACGAATGTAAGAACTTGACTGCGTTAACTACTCGCTAGCCGAGTACTGGCATCATGCCAGATCAGTCACAAGAGTATGTAAGTGCACAATGCTTGCTGGTAACTTGCAGAGCTTGTTCAATAACTTCTCTCTCGCAAAGGAATTGACTAATTGTTCTTCTTTTGTTTGAATGCTCCCTCAGATGATTACTGTAAGGGGTTTCCACCTGCGTTGAGTCTCAAGAGTCAATACCGTTGAGTACTTTCTTGCATCACGCCGGAGGCTAGCCCAGTCCTGCTCTAGAAGGCAACGGTTCTGTCTCAGGGAGGCTACAAGCAGTGCACACTCCAAGGTAGGCCAGACAGTCTCGTGCACTCTGGTTCTTCAATACAGTCACCTGGCACTGCCGAGATGGCACCGATACCCTGTGACAGCCCTAGCTCACAGCTACATAAGGAGCATTCCCACCGCAGGGTTCACCAACATCCCCCGTATATCCCCTATATCCCATTACCACCATCATAAGATCAACTAGAGTGCGGCGTTCGCCTAGTCATTCCAGTTCAACATGTTCTCTCTCTCTCGAGTATCCATGAATGCTCTTCGGGCCCGCACTCCGGCTACGATGCTTCGTTCGACCGGCCCCCGTCAAATGCGGCTTGCACACGATGCGGCTCGCCCTCACGTATGTGTTTGAGTGCCCTTGATAGGCCGCATCTTTAACTCAGCCTTCGCCCTTAGGCCGCTTTTCCCTTCACCTTTGATAAAAGAAAGGGTTTCTTGGTCAAATACCTGGTCTTTATGAGTACTGGGTTTTCTATCCCATGGATTGCTGTTTACTGGCAACTGTGAGTATCTCTACATGTTACCAAGGCGGCTTGTCTGATGTACTATCAGGAGGAAATCTGCGGCGGCTGCATGAGTTGCTCAAGCAATTGTGGGATGTTCGAGTTGGCGGTTCAGCTAAATTGTATCATACAAATCACGCGGACATCAATCTATTTTATTTGACTTCATAAACACACATCCCCTGACACGACGTGTTGAGCACGACAAGCAGTAGCACTCTACCCACGCGGCGATAATAGTTTTGCTACGTCACCGATCGTTTCGAAGGAGGTGCCAAAGCCCACATCATCAAGGTCCTGTAGGGATATTCTTCTATCAAGCACTCTGGACAATGCATGTCATACTCGTGGACCCACCACCTGAATCATCACATTGACCCACCTGGTATAAAGGAGGTTCGTATGTAGACGACGTGAACCTTGCTTCTCAAGAACCCCTCGCGCTTCCGGCCTCGCGCTATTGTATGGGCTTGGTTAAACATTAAATAACACAGGATGGTAACCAATGGTAACATACCAGGCAGGTAGACCGTGGGCAGCCAGCGATCCGAGGGCAGTTAGAATACGATCGTTGAGGTCCGCATGATGTTGGAATAGTCTGTGCTCTCAGTCGCAGAATAGCGTGTCTGCCGTGAATTGTAGTCTTTAGTGGCTATGCGCATTTCAGTCAGACATCTTGTGAGAGATTGCAGCAGAAGTTCCTGTGGTCGTACCGTCCTGCGCCACCGTCACTGTGGAAGAGAATCGTACAGTGTTTGTTGTTGGTCACTTAGCCTTCGTCGACCAGTAGTATTTATATGAAGGCTACGGCGGACGAATGACTTCTCGTGGGTAAAGGCTAGGAAGTTCGATATATCCAACGCATGTATTCGGGCAGTAAACTCTAGTAGCGACGCATCCTCGATGGTCACTTGGGCAACGCCACGAGAAGCTTGACGTCGCTGATTCACGAGGGCTGGGAAGATCTGGATGATTGAGCGACCACAGCACCTAGGGAAGAGATGCTGCTCATGGCTTGAAATGATCAAGAGGTTGCAGAGCTCGGAGTCCCGCTGGGCGGTACTTTCTGAGGAATATAGAGACCACCTATGATCCCGCTGTATCCGAAGTGAGTGGACGGTAAGTTGTACCAAAAGCCGGAGGACCAATCAGAACTACTATCAAGAAACTTAGTCTTGACGGCTGAACACCCCGACGGGAATTCAATACGAATCCTTACTCTCGAGAAGTCAGTAAAGACCGAGCTAAAAGTGTTTCCTCAACATCCAACCGTCTATATGCCCATGGTGAGCCGTCATTGCATATCAATATGCAGTAGTGCCACGTACCGAATGGGTACACCCACAGCTGATGCGACCAACGTAAGCGTCAATAACGGATACAGGAGCACTTGCATGTCAATTGCGTGTCGAGGATATCAATCTAAAGAAAGCTATAATCACAAAGTCATCAGTTTTCCTGAGTTCCACGGAAAGTTGGAGGAGCGTACTGCCCAGCACTTTCACAAGGAATGAGGGATGGTCAACCAGGCCCAACATACATCCAAGCGGCAATGCCTCTTTTATATTATATGGAATTCTTAGTATCACATCATTGGGACATCGCATTGCCATTTGGACGAGATGAATTTGCATTGTCGCGGTATCAAAGTGGTGGCATCAATAAGGTGTCACTGCTTGCCGCCTTCAAGCTTCAAGGCTCAAGCCGCCGTCAATAGAACTATCGTCAAACAGTCTGAAGCATTAGTCGATCGTCCACCTCGAACCTCGTCCCATGTCTGAACTGGCATCTCTTCCAAACTTCACATGGCGACGCGGTGCCAAGGAAGGTTCATTTGTGTCTCAGCAAGTGAGTGAAATCATGCCCGAGAATGTCTTGACACTCTTGAGGTGCATTAGATGTGCATCAGCAGGACATCATTGGCGTCCTATTCATATGCGACGTTGCAAATCATGGCGCGCCATTTCTGATTGACATCACTGTACACATCAGTCTGGAGAAAAGATATCATTTACGGGAGGAATAGCGTACCTGACAAAGAGTTTTGTCGTAATGAAATAGAGGCTCCGGCGTTGCAAGGCGACTTCAAACCTCCTCGGGATCGAGATGATCCCGCAGTGATTACAGCTGACGGGATGGACAGCAGGCATGCAAGAGGCAGGTTTTGTATACGAGATAGAAGGGGATAGACATGGGCTAAGAATGATCAACATCGTTTGTCCGACTTTTGACAACGAGCGATGATCCGCGCAACGTACATAGTCAACATTTGTTCAGGCGAGTCTTGCGTGATGGATTAACGTCATTCATATCCCGTTATCGGAACCAGCATCAACAATGTGACCCGTGTTCTCAAACCATGTCTTCGCGATGCGCCTTGAAATGTCTTGAGTCCTCTTCCCGTGAGGACTGACTCGCATTGCTCGCGAACCTGAGCGACGACATCGGTATCGACTGCGACGAAGTGTCACGGTCATTATCCTGGTGAACATCGCGCAAATCTAGCAGCAGCCTCGACATGAGAATGGACGATAGTCTAGAAGAATGTGAGTAGAAGAGCAGCATGAGAAAGCAACGCGTTTACGCACGCTATGTTGTGGTATCCAAAGCCAGAGGCAGAGTCCTGTACTGTCGATCATTGAAGAGAATCAGCAACGCCGTTTGGGATCAACAAGTCCCTGGCAACGCCGGTGATACTGACTAGTTATTTCAAGCGAGTTTGTCAGCGGGAGGGCATCCAAGATAGTGGCTGAAACATTCACAAGCAGTAACGTTCTGCAAAGCAAGGTACATACGAATAGCATGAGAAGACGATCCGGATTCCGGAGACAGGACGGCGCACCCAAAATAAAGGGCTCCTTCAGAAGCAATGCGCAAAACAAGAATTAGCTGGTGATTTTGAAGAGTGCATAAGGTAGATACCGTTACTGATCAATAGCGCAGGTATGCTGGGTTGGCATAATATCTTCTGACTTCGCTTGAACTTCTCCAGCTTGGCAACTTTCATCCATGTCAAGCAGAGGACAAAAAAGTCTGCTGCGATAGCACAAGCTCGAGCAGCCATGAGGACTTCAGTGAACGGCTTCAGCTATTCGTATCAGGAGCAATCGCCCAAGTTACTCACGGCTGATAAAGCGTTCAGTCGGACAATAAGATCGCAATGACGAAAAATACTCACAACTGCGGTGGAAAGGTGATGGGTATTCCTCGACATCCCGCAGATGGGTGAAGGTCAGCCAAATTCCAGGACGTCGGCAATGTGTGTAAATACTGCATCCGCAATGATTCATCAGTTCAGTGTTTGCGAAATTTGGGGACGTACGAGATTAACGGAGGGCATAACCAAAGAGAACGCGAACAAGATAATAATGAGGAGCCATTCCCCTTGATACAACGCCCAGATCCTGTAGGTTTGGAAAACTATATGACGCTGTTAAGCACGTTGCGTCGCAACCTAAAGGTGCAGCAGAACCGACCTGAAATTGAAAGAACGGACACTGTGTTTAGAGCCTTGTACACAGCCGACAGGGTGGAACATCTCGTTGCAGATGAGAACTTGACGGTCCCAAGGGCACATTGCAGAATGAGTGCTAGGAGGGTAACGTGGCGCATTGTGAAATAAAGGGTATTAATAAGACTCCATTTCCGTCGCCACACACAACGAATTTCTTGAGGCATAGTCAGAATAGAGTCGTAGGAGAGCAATGCTATCGACCAGTGATTATCAACGATCTCTGTGATGTAAAGAGAAGTGAAGCCTTACCAGCTGCAGAGAATGCGTAGTCATTCTGTGCTCTCGCCTGAGACCTGATAGTTTATACATAAGCACCTGCACTGCAGAGGGTTTGAGCATGCAGCCTCACAAGAACGACACCAGGTCGCTTTGAGTCGCGTTACTCTGAGCCATCGCAGAGAAAGGTTCGTCAGAAAAGAAGAGAAGGTCGAAAGCAAACCGATACAGAGGATCCTCTACGGGAGATCGCGTACATCATATAGATAGCGACGA